CATCGGGTTAAGATTGGTAATGGGGCCACAACTTCTTTCTGATTAGATGACCTGGGACGGATTCAAAACCTGACAGGATTGCACAGATTCATTGATTTAAGGATCACTAGTAACGCAACTGTGGAGGAGGTTATGAACACACATCGCCGAAGGAAACATAGTCTGAATCGGATTGAAGATATGATAGCTAATACAAGAGTTAAAAGGTCTCAGCATGATGACGTATCTTTGTGGAGAAGGGAAGATGGTAAATTCAAGAACAAGTTCACATCGAAAGGCACTTGGCAGCAAGTTCGAATTGCAAATCTGGAAACATATTGGACTAAGGGAATTTGGTTTAAGCATGCTACTCCTAAATTCTCTTTTGTTACTTGGCTTGCGACTCTGAATCGTCTCTCGACGGCAGACCGTACGAGCACTTGGAGTTTGATAAATCAGCCTTTGTGTACTCTGTTCGAACGAGGAAGAAACAAGAAACCACTTATTTTTTTATTGCATATACACATCGTAAGTATGGTACGAGCTTCCGTTTTGTCTGTTTGGTCAACACTACACCAACGAGTGGATACAACTATCGCACCTCATCATAAATCAGACTATTGACAAGCTTACATTGTTCTTGCTTCGATACATTTTTCGAGTGCCAATCACGGGGAGACTCCGAACCCATCATAACTCATCATCAAAATGGTGGACAAGACTATGCGCAATCGTTTGAGTTCGATAAGAGCAAGTGGGGATCATGGCTATGACGAAGGCCTAAGCCAATGGTTTGGGACTCGATAACATAGTTTTTAAGAAAATGTTGTTTTATGATGTTTTAGAATTTTCAACTAAAAGATGCAGTTCATGTAAAACAGTTTTTTTTATTGAATATAATTTAACATTCATTTTAAAAAAAAATAGACTAGCGAATATCGTGCAAACTGTAAGCAAGTGCAGATTGTGCAAAATGTAGGCTAGCAAAAGTTGTGCAAAGACACACTACGATAAACATATTCACATAATAAAGGTTATAAGAGAAGGTTCTTAGTTCCGCGTGAATTAGAGCTTATGCAATAGATTTCTATCCCAACACATATTTAATTAACAAGCCAAATCCTCTATAAATATCGGAGGAAGCAACTTAAGAAAATGATCAAAAATCAAGAATAAAAACCGAGAGGGAGAATACTGTAGACTATACTTTGAAAGATTCTTGCACATATCATCTCGATAGATTCCTGCAAGTTGCACCTAAGAGATACTTGTATACGCCTACTTTAAGAGGTTTAAGTAAAATTTTATGTTTATATTTTTAACAACAAATATACACCGTTTAGTCGTCTTTTTTTTCAAAAGAATATAAAATTTGTATTGAGATTAAAAAATAGTTTTTACATCTACTGCAATAGATTGGTTTAAATTCAAAGCGTAAAACAATTATATAAAGAAACCCATATAGGGCTATGAACAATCCTGAGTTTCAAACCAAGGAATCAGACCATTTTCGTAGCGGATATCAAGTGTACGAATGGAGCTAATCCGGTGATCTATGTGTCTCAACTCAACCATAAACATCTATGTGTCTATGCGCTATACAATCGGCCGGCGTCTAGTGTGTTTTAGAGCATTGTGTGTGAAACTAGTAATAGGCATTTGTATTT